TCACTGACGAGGTCTTGGACGGCTTCGGAGCTGAGTTTGGGAGGCAGATTTTCCATCCAAGACGTGGGCGAGGCCTGCGGCAGCAGAGCGGCTGGGACTGAAGGCAGAGTCTCCGGAGCCGGCGTGGGCGAGGGCTGATGTGCTTGGTGAGAGAGGCCATGGGCTGCGCGAAGAGCTCGGCGGAGTCTGGCTGCCTGGACTCCGTGCAAGGCATCGGCTGCGCCCATTTCATGCATGTCGTCGTCCGAGAGGCTGGAAAGGAGGCTGTCGAGGCTGGCCAAGTCGGGATAAGCATATGCCAGATCCTCTACCGTCTCGAGTCCTTTAAGGGCCAGGGCTTGCGTGAGGACTTCGTGGACGGCATTGTCCTTGAGGAACCTGGCCAGATCGGAGGCTGGTGAGTTGGACATAGCGGATGGCTACCTTGAAAGATGGCTGAGTAATCGAACTGACCCGTCTGTTCGGCTAAAGTCGGTTTCTGGCGATTGCGATGCTGGATGGGGATGCGACATTTCACCTGTTTTATCATTCCCACGAGTCCAGTAGCTTTGCGCACGCCTTCCGGCGGCAGAAGAATGTGGGGTCCGGATCCGTGGGGCTAAAGGCTGCGGCCGAGCGAGCGGCGCCACATGCCGCCTTATCAGAGGCTTCAATGCAAGCGTGTATACATCCCCACGGTCCATTCCGGAAAAGGCTGAAGGCTATAGGCTCAGAAGGCTTCGCCTCCGTGGGCTGATCGGACTCGGAGGAGGAGTCGTTCTCAGCCGCAAAGCGTGCCACGAGCAGAGCCTCGTAGTCGTCGTCTGGCGTGGGTGGCGCGGCTGAGGCGGCTTGTCCTGGGTCGGTGCCGATCGGCTGCACCTCATCCTCGGCTGGCAGTGCAGAGGCTTGCTCCATTTCGGCTTCTCGCGAGTAGATGAAGCGGGATAGGCCTGCACCAAACGCATCCAATGAGAACCTGCTTGGAGGTGTCGACCTGGGGACTTCGAAAGGCGGTTCCAAAGTTGGGGGCTGTCCTCCTCGGGCGATAGGGCGGGTGGGACGCCACCCCTCTGCACAAGCCTGGGCTATATGGGCTTGTAGGTC